CCAATTTTTTTAAAACAGGAGGTCAAAAATAATGATGAAATTGCCACCACTGTGTCATTGTTTCGAAGTAAAATTAACTGTTGAACAGAACCTTGTTCAACGAAACAGAAACTCAACTAAATTAAAATAACGTTATCTGGGTTGGTGATCCCCAGCCCCTGTGGTGCCTGCCGGTCTCTAAAAGGCCCCTCTCGTGCCAGACAGCACCACATGCACCATCCCCAGGGCTTATATAGAAATCTCTCCCTTAACACTCTTATTCTGGCCTAAGGTAACACCAGGTTGCTGAAGGGACAGCAGCTGACTTTGTGTATATGAAACCAAAAAGTATTTTGATATCATGGAATATTGAAAATTGATCAGCAAAACTGAAGCCCATGGGATTAAATGGGGAAGTGCCTTCGTGGGTAAGCGACAAATAGCAGAGCATCACAGTGAACGATTGTTTTTCAGACGCTATAGAAAATAGTACCGTCCCCAGGGATCAGCATCAGAACCAATACTCCCTCTGAGGCAATAATCCAAAAGGTCAAATGCAGGCCATGCACAAGTCATCTCAATAAAGTTACCAGGCGTGAGCAGCTACATAGAACATTTCGGTGATATGGAGGTGATTTACATGAGATAGCATATTGATCATAGCCATTGTTCTTAAGTTTAGATAATAAATTTAGATTAAAGAAACAAGACATTGTTTTTCTAGGTACAGATGACAAAACTTGACAACATAATATAAACAAAGATAGCAAAAGGCTTCAGGAGGACATAAAATTAGCAGACAACTTTTAATGCCAAGAAGCAAAAGATCTTATATTCTGATAGGAAAAATATCAGGAATATAAACTATGTAATACAATTATGAAGTGAGGATTGGAACATGTTCTGAGAGAAATCCTTGAAGACAGTAGAAGTTGAGACAATAAAAGATCCTTGGCTTTACAAAAAGAGTACAAAAGCAGTAGCAAGTTATACTGAACCTTTATAGCACATTGGTTAGACCCTATCTTCTGTATTACGGCCAATTTTGGACACCACACTTTGATAAGAACAGCACAGCTTCTAAAGGGTACAGAACAGATTTACTCAAATGGTACCAGGGCTGAGCGCCTTCCAATTATGTGAAGAACCTACAGAAGTTGGGCTCTCCTTGGACTAAAGTTTAAGAGAGATATTCAAAATCATCACCGGTTTTAACAAAGTAAACCGGAAGAATTGCAGAAAGGCCAGTAACATGGTGACAGATTTAAGTTAATTGACTAAACAGCAACAGATGGTTTCAGGGAAAGCGTGTTGGAAGAGTGTTGGAGTAAAATTTAACACTAACTCTCTAAAAGGAATCAGATAAATACCTGAAGGCAACAAATTTGCACAGTTGAGGAAAGGACAAGGAAGTCAGATTTAACTATACAACACTTCCCAGCAGCTGGAATGGAATGGCCCCATTCTGAATTGTACTGCTCTATGATTCTACCATATCTCTAGTTTCATGACTCCTATTGACAGTCGGGTTTCACTTGCCTACACCCTGAGCTATGGAATTTCCTCCCTAAAATTCTCCACTTCTTTTGTCTTTTCAGTCACCCATTAAAACCTACCACAAAGACCAACATATTCTAGTTTAGGGAGTCTATTACAAATTTCAGTTCTGTCTTAGATATCTTTACCTATTTCTGCCACAGGTCTCCTCCACATCTGTCATGTTGCGAAGGTTCCAGAATACCTTTACATACAATAGTGTAACGCAAGAGATGTAACAATGACATTCCGTTAGGAAATAAACATACATGAACATGCATTGCTCCAAACTGTTAAAAAAAAAGTCAGATTGATTAATATTCTAGTGAGGTGAGGCTAAACATAAATCAATTTGCATTATTTTGCCACAATAAGTGTATGTGCATACAGCACCTTTAACATTGGAAAATGTCCTAAAACACTGTATCAAAACATATCCAAATATGAGCATCGAGCCAAAAGGGGAGAAGTAAGAAGATTAAAGGTTTGGTCAATGAAACAGATTACAAGAACAGTCTTAAAATACAGAGAGAGACAGAGGGAGAGAGGTGCAGACATTCAGGAAGGGATTTTCAGATGTTTAGGCCTCAGTGCAGACAGAGTAAATGGAGGAAATACATAAGGTCAGGGTTGGAGAAAAGCAAAGTTCTTGAAAATGAAAGGGTTGCAAGAAGTTACAGAGATAAGCAAGTGTCAGATCATGAAAAGATTTGAACACAAGTATGAGGGATTTCAAGTGAGACTTCATTGGAACAGCAGGTCAACAAGCTCAGGGGTCATGGGCAATAAAGTAATGTAGTAAATATTACTTCATTTCACTTGACATTTGTCACTCCTCAGCAACCCTATCACTGAACCATGCAAAGGTTTATCGTGGGGCCCTGTGGTCAAAGGCTTTCAGCCTGTCTCAGCAAATCTTATCAACTGATCCTATCCACGCCTTTCAGCTTTGTTTCTTCTGATCCCAGGAGTTTAAGGCCTACTCAGAGTTTGAATATTCAGAAGTAACACATATTCAAGGACAACCCATTTCATCTTTGTCTGATTTATGCAGGGACAATGTCGCTGGGTGGAGGACCAGGCCACTGGAACAAGTCATCAACCTCCACGTTATTCTAGATCATTAACAGTCTAAATGGCTAGCCCATCTGCCTTAACCACATAATTCTTGGCCTCTCCTACACCAAGGCCACAATGACCACCATCCCCACCCACCTGCACAAACACACAAAAGAACCTCCAAATCTATACTCATTAAATATAATCTGGCTGTAATGCTTGTGTGTGTCCAATTTGATATTATCTCGCTCCCTAACAGCGGAGTGGATGTGCCCACACCACAAGGACCTCAGTGGTTCAAGAAGACAACTCATCACCACCTTCTCAAGGACAATTTGGGATGGACAATAAATGCTGGGCCTATGTGAAGTGAATCTGTAAAACCAGCGCTAACTATTATGTACACATCAAGGTTCTACAAACAGTAAGGAAGGAAATAATCAAATCATCTGTTTTAATGATGTTGGTTGATAGATAATTGTTGATTGGGAGCACTCCTCTACTCTACTTGAAATGGGCACTTTGACATTGTCTACTTCCTCAAACAGTGATTCCATTTTACATCAAATCTGAAATGTGGCTCCTCAAACAGTGCAGTCCTATTTCAACAACTTCAAATACCTGCTGCGGGGCTTGAACCGCTTTCCTTCTGTGTGAAAAAGGCAAAACAGCACTCGAACCATAGCTGTTACAAAAGAATTTTTGACTTTAAGTCCAATTAAATCCCCTTCGATGAGAAGAGATAATCAGTCAACCTTTATGTCAGTTTGAAATATGTGCGTGCACATTGATTGACCATAATATCAGGCTTAGTCATCAAGTTGTCAACAGTCACTACCCATACTCAAACATTAAGGATCACCACCTAATGAGTTTCTCCAAGTTCCTGGCCAATTCTACATTCAGATGAAGAGACCAACATTGAGAAAAGGTAAGGAAGGGGATCTTAAAAAAAAAAATCCAAACATTTCAATGCCAAACTCTTATCCTTTAAATAAGGGCAGAATTCCAGTCAAAAGTAGCCAGCAGGGAAAAAAAAGCCATAATTCAAGTTCAATATTAAAAGCATTAAACAACACAATGATAATGATGCAAAGCCTATGTCATCATCAGTGCAAATATTTCTATGAGAAAACTAACCAGATAAAACAACAAATTCACAAGATGGTTACGGTCAACTTCACCAATTGAAACACTTTGTATCCCAGCGCTGTTCAGAAAATAATCAGTTTGTCATAAGCAGAGTTCATGTTCAGACTCTGATTAAAAAACAACTTGTATGTGAAAGAATCAGAACAGCTGCTTGCCCATGCTCTACCAGTACTTAGTTGTTTGTGGCTAATATTTTAATGAGACAATTCTGCAAATCAGATGGAAAACTATATTCATTTGATGTAAATTTAAATATGCTTTGCAGCAACTGCCAATTTGTTTGCACAATACTGGAAGGAATTTAAAATGTCACAGTAATCTACGCAGCAGTCACTGTTGTTAGTCATTGTGCTATATTGCGAACGCATAGATCTTAAAGAAGCTACATGTGGAAATCAAAACAAATGTTGCCATTAAACAGCTAATCTTGTCTGTTCAACACATTAAGGTTTATTCTTTTAATCTGTTCAGAAGGAAAATGTATTTGAAAATTCAAATGAATCCAAAGACTGTCAACTTATCAAAATTAACCTTGAAAGAGTCTTTAGTTATATGAAAAACAGAGAGATCTATTTGCACTATACTTTCACATTTAATGTATATTACAAAGAGGTGACCTGCTAAGCTTCACTAAATAGCTTACTGCGGTTACTAATGATTTAAGCATCCTAAAGGTCATGCTGGATTGCTGTGGAGGAGTTTGCTTGAAGCCTTCTTGAAGATTTATTTTTAAATGTTAACTGCCATTTTATTCCTGCCTTTCTCCTGACAGAAAACCCTTGCGTCAGTCGCCTTCTGAAGACCAGCGGTAATAGTCTTATCTTTAATCTCAATAGTTGAAATAAGGACCCTTAAAAAAAACTCTTCCCTTCTCTAATGCCCAAGATTAGACTCTCAAAACAGGAGTCAATAACTCAACCAGAGACTATAATCGGCCTTTCATCGAGATGTTCACTCAGTTAGTCTTTTCCAATCAGGTATCTGTCAACCAACCCCAAATAATATTACGGTGTAGATTGAACCCTCAAGTGTTTTAGATCAGTGGCCGCCAGCACTTGTTTTAATGCATGAATGTTCTCTCTCTCTCTCGATATATAAATAAATAAAACTTTGCAAAAACGGGAGCACCGTGGATGAATGGGGGACATTCCATCAGTCAGGAGGCTGCATTCTCTCCTCACGCTGCTGGCCCGGGGTTTCTGCAGGAGGCCTGTGGGACCAGCAGCTCACAATGCTGTGGGGCGAGGCTGCAGCCGCCAGGGCGGAGACTCTACCTGATTGTCCATGGCGATGGCGTCGCCCTTCTCCCTCTCCTCCTCCTCCCCGGTGCCTCTCCGTACGCCGGCTCACCCACCCGCTCACACTCGCATTGTATCCCAAGGCCGAGCCCGGAACCGGGGAGCGGGAACGGAAGCCGCGCCGACAACGGACACGGGCCCTCAGCGGACTTCCAAAACAGAGCGTCGCGCCGGCCAATCACGCGGGGCCGGGCGGGAGGGGGCGGAGACTGGGCTGTCAGGGGCGGGGCCTGCACGAATAGGGTGGAGAGAGCGGTAGAGGGGGCGGGGATAGAGATCGAGAGGGCGGGGACGGAGCTGTAGTGGGCGGGGACAGAGCTGGAGGTGTCGGGGCCGTGGCTTAAGACAGCGCCGAGTGCTGACCGAAATCAGCCAATCAGTACCGTGATAAGGCGGGATTTCTTTCGAAACGCCCCTTCACCTTCCCGGACCACAGATTGACGGCCATTTTAACCAATCATTCCTTGGGTTCAGACTACCAATCGGCGACGGCCATTGTGGGGGACACACACGGGCTGGCGTCATGCCCACGGCCGCGATTGGCTGCTGCCCGGACCCGGAAGTGTCATGCACTCATCACGCACTCTTTGTCATCCCTAAAACCCCATTCATCTAAATATTTTCGAATCGACCTGTTCAGTGATGGTATTACAAATCTTTGTAGCAAGTGGGATATAAAGCCAGGCTGCACCAGAAGATTCCTTACCCATTCATTTTACCCTCCACTGGTGTCTAATTGCCAGCTGTCTCAGTTTGTTGCTTTCATTTACTAACTATAATCCTCAATGGATTAAAATCCACCCCCACCCAACCTATTTCTGGATTTATCAGATTACAGCCGTTATATCGACTCTGGAAGTTTGAAAAATTGTCTGCGGTATACGTTTTGCCTAAAGATGCATTGGCACAATTGCACATCCCGATACACATTTGCTAGACGTTTCCAGGTATAAAAGACAGAGATTGAGTAAACGTCACCTTTTTTTGCTCTCCGAATCTGCATGATTTTCAAACTGATCTGATAAATTCTGGCAGCATTGTTAAATCCAAGAAGGGAAAAAAACAAACTAGACAAACAAGAGTCACCACCATGTTTTCCACTCTGCTGATTATAGCTCAGAACTTGCATTGTGGAAAGAGAAAGTCATTGTGCCTGAGCTTGTGCAACTTGTGACAGAAAATGCATTTTTTTCTAAAATGTAATATGATGATGGCTTCTATAATTCCATCATGAATGGGTTGCAAACCAACTTCCAAAAATTAAAATGATCTCATTTTTGATTATTAAAGTTGGGTCCAGGTGTCTCTGCTCACGTGTCAGAGGGAAGGAAGGTTTGTATCCAGCAAGTTACTTTAGATACAAATACATAATGGGATTAATTCACATATATTTTGATAGCCAGATTGTTGTGGACTTAACAGATACCTTAATTTGTTCCCATCCACTACGTTAAGAGCAGAAATCTCTGACAAAGAGCTGGGAAGATTAGACAGCTTTCATCAGTCAAAACAAGCTGCTGTAAAAGAAGATTTTGTGTGCCACAGCCTGGTGGGGATTTTTATTTAGCAAATTAAAGCAAGAATGATAGATAAAAAAAAACTTGAGGAGACAGTAAAATGCATAGTGTGAATGATGGATTAGGGTGATTAAAAGAAGGGATAAGTGAAGTTAGAGTGAATGTGGTTTTAGATGAGAGATAGTAGGAACTGCCGATGCTGGATGAACGCAGCAGGCCAAGCAGCATCAGAAGAGAAGGAAAGCTGACGTTTCGGGTCTGGACCCTTCTTCAGAAATGGGGGAGGGGGAGGGGATTCTGAAATAAATAGAGAGGCGGGGAGGCGGATAGAAGAAGGGTCCAGACCCGAAACGTCAGCTTTCCTGCTCCTCTGATGCTGCTTGGCCAGCTGTGTTCATCCAGCTCTACACCTTGTTATCTCTGTGGTTTTAGATGAGTTGTGATTTTAGTTTTTACCTGAAATAATGAAGTGTAATCAATATAATATAACAATGCCTAACCATGTATTAAGGCCAAAATAAAGCAGATGCTTTTCTCTTACCTCAGTGCACTCAACAAATTTAGCTGATATGCGCAAGTTAAAGCAACCTCCGATACATAGGAAGTCAAAGGCTGCTGTCCAAGTGAATTGATTTATTAAACTCAGAAGAATGTGCAGAATTCGCCCATAAAAACCTCCATCCTAGAGGGTACAAACATGGCGTGACTGCTGTCAGAATTTTTCTGTATCTTATTGGAACAAGAGGTCATTCATCTCCTTTAACCTGTTCTGCCATTCATTTGGATGAAGCTTGATGACATCTTAATTCCCCCTACCCATGTTGGTTCTGTAACACTTAACACATACCAGTCTATTGATATCTTAAATTAACCCAAGGTTTGGACATATTCACCAGAAGAAATATTTCCTCTCATCACCTGTAAAGGACCCAATTCAATTTTTAAGGTATGAAAACAGAAATTGCTGGAGAAACCAAGTGGATCTGGTAGCACCTGTGGAGAGAAAACAGAGTTAACATTTTGGGTCCAGTGACTTTCATCAGCCCTGATGGATTTCTGCAGCAATTTCTGTTTTTGCTTGTGATTTCCAGCATCCACAGTTCTTTGTTCAGTTTTTAAGATTGTGCACTCCTGATTAGTTCTGTCCCAAAGAGGAACTAGTTACTACCTTTTTTCCTTTAATCATCTTTTATCACCTGATTTGGAATACTCCTTAATCCTTCATATTCAAGAGAATACAAACCTGTTCTAAGCAACCTGCCTGTATAATTAACCCTTTCATTCCCAGTATCATTCTGGTGAATCTGTGTTGTGTCCCTCCAAGGCTAGCCAAACTTTCCTGAGGTACAGTGTCCATACTGAAGATTGTATTCTAAATGGGGTCTGATCTGAGCTTCATACAGCTGGAACATAAATTCCTTCTTTCTGTGTCGCAGGTGCAGCTTGTTTAAGATTAAGTTCAACAAGAAAAATCATAAATGGATCCTCAAGTCTCTCAGTTCCTTCAGATTTCCTAATTTCTTACCGTTTATAGGTCAAAGATGAATGATCTCACATTTTCTCACATTGGACTCTATTTGCATTGGTTTTGCCTAATTATTTAAGCTATCAACATTCCACTGCAACTTTCCATTCCCACATATATTACATACAGTGCAACCAAAAACTGTATAATCTGCAGACATTGATGTATGGCTCCATATTCTTTAATATAAGTCCCACTCAGCTGAATTGCACAGAAGAAGCATTTACTGTTTAACTGGTCAGGGGCAAGCGGGAAGTTTATGGGTTCGTGTTTTATGTGATTCTCAACCTAACCAAAATTAGGCCTGATGGGATGAAGCAGAAAAATCCAGCCAATGGAGTTACTGTAAAGATATATAGGCAGGGATTTACTTCTTTCCCTTAGCTTCATGACTATGTGCCCAGTATTAATACTTGGCAGGAACACCTTTGGATCAGGGTGCTACATGTCAGGATATCACCATTATTATAAATGCTCCACAATCAGCTGCTTGGAAGCAAACAGAGCTGACCCAGTTGACACAAGCAGGGCCACACAATGTGCAGATTATACTCAGGATTTAGCTCCAAAAGCAACAATCAGAAGCATTTCATTGTGCCACTCAGGTAGCCTCTAGGAGAATAACTAAGTGAGTTTTAACAGTTCCATGCCACACGCTGACACTGGAAGCCAAGCACAGTTATCAAAAGCTGGAAGTATATATGCACTTGAACGTCATTAAAATTATCATTGCTCTAAAGCTGTTCTGAATCAAGCATTATAATTGACAGGGTTTGGAAGCAGCTTAAGTAAGTAATATAAACGGGACCACTGTAAAGTGAATGAACGAGTGAAAGATATTTCTGGTGAGGGAAAGGGAAGAGGTGTAAACAAGATTCTTAAGCCAGTACTTAAATATCGAACTGTAATTTATGTTATTAATACAACAGTATACAATAAAATACTTTAATTATCCAAAAATATGGTAAGACAGCAAAAATATTCATATGAGAGAGGAATAGGCATTTTTTTGTCATTTTTAGAATTAATTTACAAGATATGGGTGTCATTAGCTGAGTCAGAATTTATAATCCAGCCCTAATATCCTCAAGATGGTGGTAGAGTAGGATGCTCCAACTGGAGCTCTTCTGCTTCACCAGATCTTTTTCTTTTAGCTTTCTTCTTTTCTTCTCTTTTCTGCAGTTTTTCTTCCTCCCTCCCCATCCCACCAACTTTTAACTTCTTAAACTTACCCAGAGGGAATGGAGAATGGAGGCGAGTCTGAATCCAGCCTGGTGTGGGAGATGAGTCGGAGACAATGCTGCGGCAGAGGTGAGTCCCAGAGGTGAGTCACGGGCCAGAGCCTGGAGCAGGAGGCAGTCTGAACCCAGGCCAGCCTGGGAGACGAGTACTGGAGGTGAGTCATGGATGCAAGTCTTCGAGGCAAGTCTGGGCCGGATGTCAGCACGTGGAAATAGTGAAGCCTCATGTTCTGAAGCCCAGCGGACTCAGTGAAAAGGACTATAATTTGAGTACTTTTCTTCTTCTGGACTTCGAGTAAGTCGAGTACTTTTCAAAACTTTGTTTTCCTATGCTAAACTATTTTTCTGTAATAAACACTTAAAGTATCTGTACCTAGGTACCCAGTACCTAAGATGGCGCCAAAGCGGTGACATTACAAACTTTTCACTGCACTTATTCAAGCACATGTGACAATGAAGGCTATTCTATTCTATTCTATTCAATTCTATTCTAATAACCCTTGAGAAGGCACTGATGAGCTGCCTTCTTGAACTCGAGGGTAGGGATATCCACAGTGCTGTAGGGAGAGAAATTTCAGGATTTTGACCATTGACAGTAGAGGAACAGTGTTATTGTTCTACGTGAGGATATCGTGTGATTTGCAAGTGAGTTTGCAGGTGGTGTACCTCCCATGCACCTTCTGTCCTTGTCTTTCGAGCTGGTAGAGGTCACGAGTTTAGAAAGTGCTATTGACGGAGCCTGCTATGCTTCTTGTGGATAACACACACTGCTGCCACTGTATGTTGGTGGTGGATGGAGTAAATATTGAAGATGTTGGATGAGGTGCAAATGAAGCTTTTATCCTGGATGGTGGAAAGCATCTTGAGTATTACCTGAACTGCATACATCCAGGCAAGTGGTGAGTATTC